AAAAAAAAATTTGACCTCTGGACTTGTCTTCGTGGTGAAAGTTGACATCAAAGTTAATAAAAAATTACGAGGTTAATTTTTTCAATTTTTTCAATTTTTTTTACTAAAAACTGCCGTAACTTTTTCAAAAATGAACATATGAATATAATTTTTTTTTATATAGATGCTTGATGTCTTTACTTATCATTTGGTATATTTTTTTTGTAAATCTGACACTTAACCTGCCCACAGGGGGGGATTTAAAATGACAACTTTTTCACAAAAAATTAACTTTTTCAACTTAACTTTTGAAAATGTTCCGGAAGGTCTGACACTTTTATATATATCTTAAATTAAAGCTAATGTAATATACTTTAATTTGAAAAAAAAAAATTTGACCTCTGGACTTGTCTTCACGGCGAAAATGGCTACCGAATGCTATTTTCGTGTGAAAATTCTCGATTTTATTATTTATATTATATTTAACTTTATAATGCTATAACTTATTGAAAAGTTTATGGATCCACACAATTTTTTTATGAGAAATAATATTTTTTAATAAACCCTTTTTCATTCGACATACTTTATCTTTATCGAGATATTAATCAGGAACCAGCAGATCAAGTAGCTTTTGGAATAAAACACCAATTTTTTTAAAATTAAACACTATCTAAAGATTTGCATCGAAGCGTTTATTTTTGATAGTGATTTTAATCACTGTCAGATATCATTTACTTGATCCAACTATGCCACGTCACCACTGTGCCGCGACCCCCCTGTGCTGGGGTTTTTTATATTGGAATTAATATCTATATTATTATTACTATTATTACTCTATTTATCTTTAACACCCTCTTTGAAAAGCTGTACTTGTGTTAAAGAGGACGAAAAAACTTGCATAATTCAGTGCAACGGAGTGTAATCCCAAAACATTTGGGACGCATGAACGCATTTCCAATTGAGCTAAGTAGGCCGCTTTCAAATAAGTTCGAATAAATTTATGAAATACTTATTCAAAAATGTCGGACTTTTTTAACTTTATAATGGTATAACTTATTGAAAAGTGTATGAATCAACACAATTTTTTTATGAGAAATAATATTTTTTTTAATAATCTCTCTTTCATTCGACATACTTTATCTTAATCAAGATATTAATAAGGAACTAGCAGATCATGTAGTTTTTGAAATAATCCACCAATTTTTTAAAATTAAACACTGTAATATTATATTATTACTTATAATATTAAAATATTATATTATGTTATCTTTTGTACATGTATGTCATATATTGTGAATTTACAAGATCACCAAAACATCGTACCCTTATTTAAAACTTAAAATAATCAATAAATTAGACAATTAAATCTGATTATCGTACTGATTCAAAGTAAAGCCCATGTTTGGGTTTTCAATTAGGGCCAGCCAATGACATTTAACTATTAATTAAGATCTATAGTTTCTAAGATCACACTAGGGATCGCTACACGACCCTCGTCTACTATAAAAACCCATTTTTTCCTATTAAAATCAGTTCTTTCAGCGATTTTAAAATACACAAAATCTGCGACACTCTACTCAAGATTCTTATTCTCTGGGACTTTTATTTTATTATGGAAATAAATGTCAATTAATATTTTAAACCAAAAACATTTTTTTATATATAATAAAACCGAATCAACTCTAATTTTCTCAGTTAATGGTAAATATTTATTATATGACTAAGTGTATTGCAACTTTATATTTATTGGGTAGCTAATCTTTTGTGGTTTAATGTCTTTGTTCTAACGAACATCGCGCCGGCAGACAGAGTAAAGGTTGCAATTAAAGATTTTTAAAGTTAGGTGTATTAGGTTAGAATATATTTGTAAACTTATGTGTATTGGGTAGCTAATCTTCTGTGGTTTAATGTCTTTGTTTTAACGAACATCGCGCCGGCAGACAGCACAGAGAAACTTACAATCATATGTTTTAGTGTTTAATTTTTGTCTTGGTGATTATTGTGCCGCATCCTTTCAAGGTGCATTATTTTAGCACCGGGACACATTGGGCCACCACAATTCCGCCTTGACAAATCTTTTACATAGATATAAATATTTCTGAGTCTTGTTTTGGCCAGGCCAGAGGAAAATTTAAGAAATATTGGTGTCGATCTCTCAATAAAATATAATCTCATAAATAATATACTCATTCTACAAAGTCAATTAAAGATACATTATTTGATTATAATTATAAAAAAATATAGAGTGTATAGAATCTCCTACATATAATAATACAGTCATAGATTTTGTGTAACGGTTTCGCATTATTTATAATTAAACGCTTTATTCTCAAACGGTCATATTTACTGTCGAACTCAAAGTGTACAACGTGTGAAACATAGTGTGAACTCATAATCAACATTGGATTGTCTAAAATAAGCATTACATTACGTGGGATACGAGGTAAGTACAAATTCAAATTTCCGCTTTCAATACTACTTTTCTTTCTTTTCTTTTTGGTTTATTACAACACTATGTAAAGATTTGTATCGAATTGTTTTATTTTTGATAGTGATTTTAATCACTGTCAGATATCATTATACTTGATCCAACTATGCCACGTTACTACTGTGCCGCGACCCCACTGTGCTGGGTTTTTTATAATAAAAGTAAAATAATTTTCAATACTAATAGCATTCAATTTATATTTATATTTTCTACACATATTTTTAATTTTATTTATGTAAACAATGTCATTTTATTAATGTTATCGTTAATATAGCATAATTTCTGTTTATAAGTATCTATATTTTTTCATGTAGCTGTTTATAAAGGGATAGAGTGATCGAATGGATAGCGCGACGATTGCACCAACACCACATAGGTTTGATACTCGCCTTTCTCTATAAAAACATAGCTTAATAGGCGTTGTAGTATTCTATATTATAGGGAACATCAGTTGACCAAGTTCTGCTCCAATTGAATGTTTTCTTAAAGTATCTACCATATAATAAAGGTATCATTAGTCAGTTTTTTTTAAAACTCAATCGCGATGGATCATCCATCCGATCACGTGATACAATTGTCGTTGGTTAACGTCAACGAATTTTAGCATTTGAAATGTCCACAGCTCTACACCGTGTTCCTAACAATACACAATGTTTTTTATATAAATAACGTTATATAAAAAACACAAAAAAAAAGACATCATAATAAAATTAATGCCTTCTCAGCAAAAAAAAATTGCAATGAAAATTATACAAATAAGGGTTATACATCAAAAGTAAAATAAACTTTTTCATTATTTTAAATAAATAATAATTGATTATAAATTATAATAATTATTAATTAATAGATTATTTTATTTATGTTATTACACAGTATTATACGGTAGTTATTCATAATTTGTAACTATATTTAAAAGGTAAAGGGTATTTTAGAATCATTAAGTTCACGTATTTTGTTACCTGTTACTAATTAACATTAAAATTTAACTATTTCACATTACTGAAATTTCCTAGAAATCATCATCATTATTTAATGATTATGTTAATAATAAGAATCGATCTCTTGGGGAAAAAAAAATTTTAATTAAAAATATATTTTTAATATTAATTTAAAATTAAAATTAAAAATAAATATTATAGTATGGTTTAACGCTGATAATGATAAAATTGTTCCCGAAACACATTTACCAGATTTTTTAGTATTTTTGTGGCTTTTTAATTTAAATTTTAATTAGTTAAAAAATTTTAATTTTTAAAGAAACTCTGTATTAAATTTGTTTATTACTAAATTGAGCATAGTCTATCTGTAATTTTAAACGTAAAAAATACATTTAATTATTCAATTATCTTAAAAATACATATATAAAAAAAAAGCGGCTCTAAAAAATAGGAGTTTTATAATTTGTTATACATTCTGTGTAACAGCTTTTTCTGCTCATGCAATGAAAACTTATAAAGTTAAAGCCTGAAATTTAATAAAAACTTATATTAACTTTAGTTAATATAAGTTTATATACCCAATTATACATTAAGTGTTAAATCCAGATATACTTCAGAGGAGGTTGGAGTCCCGCTTAACTTTTGATTACCTCTTTCCCCTTATAATTCACAGGGTGACAACGATAACATAGCTCTTTTCGAAAATTGATGCAATATTTTGTTTAATGTAGAGTTTTTATTTTTGCTCCTCAATTTCTTCTTGCACCAAAGCTTAGACTACCCCCTAGAAAATGATTCTGAATTCAACACAGCATTTATTTATAGGTGGA